CCCGCATCACCCCCATCCTTTCGGTATCACCGCCAGTTTCTTCATTAAACATCGTTAAACATCATAAGGGGGTGCCCAGGGAGGTGGCGGAGTCGCCACCCCTGGCGGTGTTTTAAAGGGAAGTCTGGCGGTTTGGGCTCGATCTCAGAGGGGTCTTTCCCGGCCTAAGTGATTCCTTGATGCCCGCTGGGCCGCGTTTGTGTGTAATTCTCCACGTTCCTGGTGCGGGGGTGTTTCGCTGTGCTGGGCTCTGCCGCACACACCCCACGGCTGGCTGTGCTAGAAACGCTGTGGGGTTTTTTGTGCTGAAAAATCGCTGCTTTTTTGTGCCGAAAACGTGGCTGGTTTTGCCGGTGTCAGCTGAGGGGAGAAGGGGGGCTGCCAGCTCTGCCCGTGCTGAGCACAGGGAAACGTCACTGGTCTTTGATCACAGGTGGGGAAGATCCATCTTCTCACAGCTGAGGTTTGCACTTCCCTGAATAACTCACTCCCTGAATAACTCGCATCCTTGGAGATGCCAGGGAAAAGCTTGGAAAATCCCGTGGTTTTAGAGGTGCTTGGAGCAGGCAAGGCCTTGCCTGGCTTCTGCACAGAAAGAACAGAGAGATGCAGCCTGATAACTCCTGAGACAGGTGGCATAAAAGCTTTAGATTTAGGAGAAGGGCCTCCTGCGAAGTGCTGTGGGTGTGTGGGTGATTCTGCCAGGGATGCTTTTGCTTGGAGAACACTGTGGGTTGGATTTATTCCTACTGGAAAGTGGAGTTTGCTTCCTGCTAGAGACTTCTGGGCAGAGGGTGCTGCCTTGGAAACAGGCCTGGGATGTAGAGGCTGTCAGAGGTGAGCTGGGCACCTGTAAATGACCTTTCCAGGTGGTTCCCAGTGTGGGAAAGGGCTGGCAGCTGTACCAGCTGAAGCTGAAATTATCCTTGGTATGGATAGAAGCTGCTTTGGATCAACCATGTACCTTTATGCCTATTTTTATTGATTGGACTTTGCACTCTTTTCTAGCATGTGGATATGGAAAACTCCTATCTCTGTGGATACTTGAAAATTAAAGGCCTTACAGAGGTGAGTGTTAACTGCAAAACACCACGAAAAAGTGCTGTTTAAAGGCTTTATTTTTTTTTTTTCCTGGTGGGGTGGGAGAAGCTGCTGCCAGAAATGGGAAGTGGAGGGATTGAGCATGTTGTGGATTTGATCATGAGGTATCCACTGGGGAGTGGTGCTGGCTGTAAATGTCACTGGTGATTGTCCAGCTGGGAGCTTCAAAGGATCATTGAGGTTGGAAAAGCCCACTAAGATCATCCAATCCAACTATTAACCCAGCACTGCCATGTTACCACTAAACCATATCCCCAGGTGCCACATCCACATGTTTTTTGAACACTTCCAGGGGTGGTGATTCCACCACTGCCCTGGGCAGCTCTGCCAATGCCTGACCATGCTGTCAGTGAAGAAATTTTTCCAAAATATCCAATCTGAACCTCCCCTGGCACAACTTGAGGGCATTTCTTCTTGTCCTATCCTTCCACCTTCCCTGGAAGCAGAGCCTGACTCCTACCTGGCTCCCCTCTCCTGTCAGGGAGTTGCAGAGAGTGAGAAGGTCCCCCCAAGCCTCCGTTTTTCCAGGCTGAGTCCCCCCAGCTCCCTCAGCTGCTCCAGACCCTTTCCTGCATTTCAGCTCTGACATGACTCCTTCTGGCTTTATGAAGCAAAGAGAGAGGCAGAGAAGGGCTGGAATAAGAGGGTGGAGGCTGTGGCTGTGGAGGAGTCAACCTTGGAGAGGTGTGGGGCAGGAGGAACCTTGGATTTCCCAGAGCTGTCGCTGTGAGATGCTTTTTGCTGAGTGCATGGAGCTCTGTCTGCGTTTGGGTTTGGGTCTGTAGGTGACAGTTCTGACCCCACCTGTGTCTCTCCTCTCTCCCAGGAGTACCCAACCCTCACCACGTTCTTCGAAGGCGAGATAATCAGTAAGAAACATCCGTTCCTAACACGCAAGTGGGACGCTGACGAAGATGTGGATCGTAAACACTGGGTAAATAAATCTGGGATACATGTGGGTCTGGGCAGCTGCTTTGGAGGAGAGGTGTGCCCATGGAAGAGCTGTCAGAAATGCTTGGAAACCTCTCATTTTTGGGTGTTTCCCTCCTTCCCCAACTGGGAAGTCACTTCAGCAAGCTGTGATCTGTGATGAGGGAGGGGACATCTTGTTTTGCGCTCACTGGCCCTGGGGTTAGTAGGGAGCAGGAGCAATCCCCATCTCTTGACCCCCTAAGAGAACACACTCCTTGTTTTTGAAATAAAAATGGAGTGGAGAAAGGGAGAGGGACCCCTCTGGCAGTTGGTACCTCTTTCTCTGCTCAGGGCAGGGTGTTGCTGCTGTTGTGCTCTGGGGCCACAGCAGCCATGACCTTGCTGTTGTTTGTCAGGCTTTGATGTTTATTATGCTTCTGTCAAAATGTTTTCCTCTGAAAGTGTAGGAGCTTCCCTAGCTAGCCTGGATATGGCTGTGGGTGTCAGTAGTTTTTCCCTCCTAAACAACAACTGGCACTAGAGCTCTAGTCCTGGAATAAGCAGCCTGTTTTGTTTTGTTTTGTTTTTTCATTTTTGTTTCAGGGAAAGTTCCAGGCTTTTTACCAGTATGCAAAAACATTTAACTCTGATGACTTTGATTATGAAGATCTGAAAAATGGAGACTACGTCTTCATGAGATGGAAGGTAAACTCTGCGTGTCTCCTTCTCTGATGAGCTGCTTGCACGCCACTGGCAGAGGCTTGTGGTGCCTAAAAGCTTTTTCAGCTATGATGATTTAATGAAGGATCTCACCCTGCCAACCCCAAAACCCACTGTACTTGCAAGTTGCAGTGTGACTCGTGTCTAGCCAGCTAATTGTGTCCTTAAGGGCTGCAGTCATGGCTAAAAACACAACAGGAAAATCTTGCTTGGTGGTGCTTCAGAGGATGAGAGAATTGGTGTCTCCAGCCACGGTGTGGGGCCTGTGTGTGTTTGATGTAGAGTGACCACTCTGCACCTCTGTTCGTCAGCTGGGATCATCAGAGAGTCACCACAGAATGGGTTGGGTTGGAAGGGACGTAAAGCTCATCTGGTTCAACCCAGGGACACCTTCCACTAGCCCAGGTTGCTCCAAGCCCCGTCCAACCTGGCCTTGGACACTTCCAGGGATGGGGCAGCCACAGCTTCTCTGGGCAACCTGTGCCAGGACCTCCCCACCCTCCCAGGGAAGAATTTCTTCCTAGTATTTAATCTAAATTTCCCCTCTGTCAGTGTGAAGCTATTCTCCCTTGTCTTGTCCCTCCATGCCCTGGTAAAAGTCTCTCTCCAGCTTTTTCACAAGCCCTCACAAGTCTTGAAAGGCTGCAGTAAGATCTCCCTGGACCCTTCCCTTCTTTCTCAGGCTCTGATTTCTGATTTTGCAATTGGCTTCTGGTTCGCAAGGGGCAGATGTTGAACTGAAACTGATATCCTGCACTCTTAAAACTGGTTCTGCTCTCAGTTATCCACTTCCCTGAGATGCCTATGGTGGCAGGTGGTGAAGGGACACTCTAGTCTCTGGTCTGGGCTGCTGCAAGTGCAGGGAGTGCTCAGCCAGGAATGTCTTCGTGTTAGTGGGTGCCAGTATTTGGTTTGGGAGGGCAGATTGGGGTGGAGTGGGGCTATATTTGACCAACATTTTAAAATGCAGCCTGTATTTCGTGTGCAGGAGCAGTTCCTAGTCCCAGATCACACCATCAAGGACATCAGTGGTGCTTCCTTTGCTGGTTTCTATTACATCTGCTTCCAGAAGTCAGCAGCATCTATAGAGGGCTATTACTACCATAGGAGTTCAGAATGGTAAGGAAGCTCCCTGCCTCCTGAGGGCTCAAACCAAGCTGTGAGTCCTGTCCTGCTCATCCACAGCCTTGGGAGTGTCCAGGCAGGAGGTTCAGGCTGGACCTCAGGGCAGAAGGGGGGGTGGGCTGTGCTTGGCCTGAGCTTGGGGCAGCCCATTGGTGTGGTATGAAGTGCTGCCCTTTTGGCACAGGGGGGGAAATTTGGGCTGGCAGAGTGGAGGAGGGGGAGGTACAGAGTCTGGAGAGGATGTCAGGGGAGCTTTGAGAGGCAGTTTGGTGCTTTCTCACATGTAACAGCTTGGCTGTTGTTCCCTTCAGGCAGAAATCCTGTCAGACCAGGGCTTTGTATTCTGAGGTCCTTGGTGTTGCTGTAAGACAAAGGAACAGTCAAGGCTAATTGGTGGGGATTTTGTTGGAGAGCTCTTTTCCCTTGGATGTTGTCCTGAGCAGCAAGTGAAGCTTTCAGGGGGAGGGAAGGAACCAGGAGACTTTGAGACATGTCCCCTCGAGCTGAGCTTTGAAAGACTCAAGTGTAATTTGCACTTGTAGCAAACACTGTTTGAACATGAAAGTTGTTGAATTTCAAAGAGTGTCCAAAGAAACCCCACCACAGGCAGCCCACCTGGAATGCTGCCTGGCTGCTGGTGGCTCAGAGGCACCAGCGTGGGAATCATGGAATCATTAAGGTTGGAAAAGACCTCCAAAACTGAGTCCAACCTTCGACCAAATCCCCCCATTCCCACTAAACCCTAAGTGGCAAGTCTGCCTGTTTTCTGAACACTTCCAGGGATGGTGACTCCACCACTTCCCTGGGCAGCCCGTTCCAGGGCTTAACCACTCTTTCAGTGAAATATTTTTTCCCTAATATCCAACCCGAACCTCTTCTGGCACAACTTGAAGCCATTTCTCCTTGTCCTATCAAGAGACCAACCCCCACTTGGTTCCAGCCTCCTGTCAGGGAATTCTACAGAGTGATGAGGAGTCCTGATGGGATTTTGGCACTGTGGGAAGTGGGTGTTGGATGCCTGAACACCTCTGAGACTATAAAGGGGGAGAGAAGAGCCAGCAGGAGCTCCCTGTAATCCTCTCCTCAATGTTTTCCTTCTCTCCCAGGTATCAGTCATTGAATTTAACTCACGTTCCTGAGCACAGTGCTCCTATCTACGAATTCCGATGACAGTCCGGATCTGATACCAACCAGAAGCAAACCGGGCAGGAGAGCATGGCCTGCCAGGAGAACTGTGTCCCTGTGGGAGCACGGGAATGCACTCTTCTCTCCTGCCCCTTGGACTTGCCAGAGAGAGCCTGGATGTTAACTCACCCAGCCTGAGGAGCTGCTGGAGCTTGATTCTCCCTCCTGTCGAGTGGCCATTTGATCTTTACTCTGGTTTTAAGCTACTTTAATGCACTTTCTTGTTGCACAGCTCGTTTCTCTGTCACTGAAGTTCCTCCCAGCTCTCCTCTGGAAGCTGTTTCTCAGTAGCTGGAATCAGTGCTCTGGCCGCTGAGTAATAAGGAAATGTAAGCTCAGGGCTTATGTTTTCCTTGTTACATCCTGATGTGGATTGAAATTGCTGGGATTTGGGTTTGTTGCCCAGCTTTCCAGCTCTGATGCTCCCAGAGCCGGGTCCTGGGTGTGAGGCTCAGCTGTGGAGTCTGTTGGGGAGTGTTGGCTGAGGTAAGGCTGGAATGAGGCTTTGCTGGCTAACAAGGTTAGCCAGAGCTGCAGATCTGCCAGGAACACCGGCCCTTTGGAGCTGGGAGCTGTTCCCATGTCTGGATACGCCACTGGGAATTAATTTGATGTACGGACTTCCAGGCTCTCAGTAAAGTGGATCTGAACTCTGCTTGTAGGTGTATATTTGCTCTTTACTTAAGTTAAGGGTAAAAAAAAAAAAAAAGACAAAAAAAAGACAAAAAAAAAGACTTTTATTAAAAAAAATATATCTATTTTTATGGTTCCTTTTCCAAAGGACCCTATGGCAAATGCACAAGTACTCGATTCCATGTTACCGTTTTCACATTGAAAACCAGGAATGTCTGTGTTTTTATATCCGTGTATGTATCCAGCTAAGCTTTGGGAACGTAACCGGAGCGCAAGCGCTGAGCAGGGTCACCCTGGCACCGCTCAGCGTTTGTCCTCACCCTTCATGCTTCACCACCACTGCTTGACACCTTTTTACAAGGAAAAATAACAAAACAGGAAAAAAAAAAGCCCCTCCCAGTAGCTCCCTCTGACTCTGAATGTTCCAAGTGACACAACTTAAGGCTCCGTGTGCCAAAGTGTGTGTGTGTGTGCGTGTACGGACGTGTGGGGTGGTTTTTTTTTTTCAAAGACACTTTAAAACTTGGCCTCAGTTGTGTTTTTACCGTGTCAGTCCCACCTGAGGGGCTTTTGTGAGAGTTCAGTTTGCCTTTTTCTGGCTGGTTTAAAACCCAAGCCCCCCCAGGCAGGCTCATAGCACGAGTGGGTGCCGAGGACGGATTTTCCGCCCGGGAGAGGGGAGCGAAGCCTCTGAGGTGCTTTGGGTTTGCTTCTTTTTGAATTAACTTCCTTCTTTTTGGCAGCAGTTGAATCGCTTGTTTAAGCCTTAATGAGGAAGGATTCAGGGCTTGGTGAGCCCCTTTCCTCTATTCCATGTCGGGATCTTGCATGGTCGGGCTGGTCTCGGGAGATGATGCGGAATTCGGCCGCCTCGTGCGTGCTGTGCTCCGTGGATTAGTCCTTCTCCCCAGAGAGAGGTGCTTAGGGAAGAAGGGGAGACCTGGCCCTTCCAGGGAACGTGTGCTGGTGCCTTGGCCATTGCAAGAGGACGTGTAGGGAAGCATGGAGATGATTTGGGGCTGCGGGCAAAGCAGTTGGGAAGTGCGTTCCTGTTTTATTCTGCTTCTCTCGGAGGAACTCAGCCCCTTTTGGGGAGAGGGGTTTCCTCACGGATGGTGCTGGGAGATGTCCTGGCTTTAGGGGTGAAAACCTGTGGTGCTGCTCCATGGTGGGGGTGAAGCCTCCTCCCAGGTGCTGTGTGGGTGCAGGGACCTGGCTCCAAGGACTCTTCCCAGCCCTCCGGAGCTGTTTGTGCAATATTGGGGGTGGCACCAGTGTCCCTGTGCTCCCAGGGCTGTCAGTGCCAGCAGGACACTTGGATATCTGACATGGTTTAGGTGAATTGACCCTGGTCATTGGCAGGAGCTGAGTTAGGAGGGTCCTGGGAGTGTTTAACGTGTGTAACTATCCCAAAACCTCTGAGATTTTTCCTTGAGATGTGATATGTTGTGAGAGGGGTGTGGAAGGAGCATCCTGCTCTCTGCTTGTCTCCTTTCCACCGTCCTGAAGGGAATTTCAGCGGAATTCCAGAACTGTCTGGATTTGACACGTGGCGGGTGCAGAGCAGGTCGAGGAGCCGAGGGGCTCACAGGGGCTTTCAGGGTGTGGATTTTCCCTCCTCGAGAGCCTTGGCTTTGGTTTTCCTTTTCTTTGACTTGTGTGAGCTGTGGAGGAACGTTACGTATGTCCTGGTATGGTGAGAGAGAAGGGCACGGGCGAGGATTTGGGGGGGCAGAGGTGAGAAATGGGGTGTTTGGGGCTGGGAGAGGTGGTGGTGTCTCTTGGCCCATGCTGGTTGCAGCGTGGTGTCCGTGTGGGAGCAGAGGGGTGTCCGTGTGGGATGGATGGAGGGGGGGGCCGAGGAGGTGCTTTGTGGAGCGATCAACGTCCAAATTAAACATGAACTGTATTGAAAGGGTCTGTCTCCGTGTGTGTTTGTCCAACGAAGCGCTTCCCGCTTCCAGGGCGTTGCTGTGCTTCATCTTCTCCCTCGAGGGCTTCTCCAGGAGTCCCATCAGCTGCTGGTGGCCTTAATTCAAAAGGTCACAGAATTATTTTCATTGGAAAAGAACTCCAGCACCATCAAGTCGACCCTGTGCCTGATCCCCACCTTGTCCCCCATCCCAGAGCAATGAGTGCCAGGTCCAGTCCTTCCTTGGACACCTCCAGGGATGGGGACTCCACCACCTCCCTGGGCAGGGGATGGTGCCTTCCAATGCCTGACCACCCTTTCCATGGAGAAATTCCTCCTTATGCCCAACCTGAACCTCCCCTGGAGGCGGTTTCCTCTTGTTTTCTCGCTGGTTCCCTGGGAGCAGAGCCCGACCCCGCCCTGGCTCCAGCTCCTGTCAGGATCCACCTTAATTAGAGGAGCAGGAGTGGGGCAGCCCCGTCTGGGGCTCCCCTCGACACCCCCTGCTTCCTGCGACATTTCCTACGAGCAGCTCCCTCCGCAGCCCCATTTCCCGGCCGCCCTCGCTGCCACCCGTGTCCCCCCCACCCGTGTCACTCACCGGGGTCCCCTCGCGGTGGCGGCGGGCGGAACGCGCGTTGCGGGGCGCGGGGCGCGGGCGGAGCGCGCGGGGCGCGGGGCCGGCCCGGACGCGTGACGGGGACGGACGGGCCGGGCCGGCGGCGCTTCCGGCGGGCGCGGAGCGGGGCCCGCCATGGGAATCCTGGAAAAGATCTCGGAGATCGAGAAGGAGATCGCCCGCACGCAGAAGAACAAAGGTGCGGGGCGCGGGAGGGCGCCCGGGGACCACGGGGACGGCGGGCGGGTACAGCCCGGGCGGGGGGGGCAGGTGGGGTGAGGGTGATGGGGGGGCTGGGAGAG